TGTGTGTGTGTGTGTGTGTGTGTGTGTGTGTGTGTGTGTGTGTGTGTAATCATTTAGATTCCCTCTCTCACACCTCTCTCATTTCCTCTTTTGAGAATCTCCCTTGTGATTTCTCTCCCTCTGTGTGTTGCAGAGCGAGCCAACCTGCCGAGGAACATGATTGAGAACAGCATGTTTGAAGAAGAGCCTGATGTTGTGGATTTGGCCAAAGACTCTGCATTTCCAGTATGCTAATGTGATCTTATCCATGCATGCTATACATGTGTTCATTTTAAGGACCAGCCTGGCTCAATAGTTTGCATATCACAGAAAGCGTATTTGCACCACTCTGCACATTACCTTTTAGCAAGTGCTTTCATCTGTAAATCTGATAATGGGAACAGATCAAGGCAATATAAATACGGATCAGTTAATTCAAGAGTGGCACTTGTGGATAACCAATGATGCTCATTTGCACACTTTCAGTTCACATACTACTGCTCAGCCGCAACTATCTAAATTTAATAATTGTGAGAATTACTTCGAGCAAAAATAACTTCATTTTAGATGATGATGATGTACATTATATGGGAAACCCTGCACAGCCACACTGGAAACTAACAGAGTGTACTGTACATGCTCTCTGCAGACATTTCCTGCTCTTGACCCAGATGAGGTGGCGTATGAGCCTCGTAGCTCCCGGTTGCTTGTGCGAGGCCTGGGCGAGAACGACATGGACGAGGATGAAGAGGACTGCGAGTCTTCAGCCCGTCTGCTGGGCATGTCCTTCATGAACCGTAGCGCTGCTCACAGATCCATCTCGTCTGCATACACCAGACAGGCTCCACCCAGGTAATGCACTGAAAAGGGTCATCATTTGGGACAAATTATGTTGGCATAAAAACGCAGCGCTGCATAAGCAATCATGCATCATCACATGCAAAGCTCATGTGATTGGTATTTGAGCCTGGTGATATACAAATGTTGAATTCAGGTTAATTACACTGAAACTAAGTTTCCATATGTAAGAAATACTGAAGCATATTTGTTCTATTTTGGAAGCACATTTTGAGATAAGTAAGCCATATTGAGCTCGCAACTGTTGATGGGGGTAATATAATAAGCACCATTTTTAATCTCTTTCCTCCATGACCTCATCTTCGACTAAGATTTACATAAAATGAGATAACAAGTCCTGGTGGTTTAGGTGAACAGGTTGGACAAAATCTTCTGCAACTGCAGCTACATTGTAGTTACAGTTGCAGAGTAAATAAGCGAATCCATGCTAAATTAGAGTTAGTGCACCTCAATGTAACAGGACATATCCTTGTAGTCACTCAATCAGTCCAATCCAGTATAAATCATCTGTAACAACGATACTGTTCAGGGACGCTTTCAGTGGTAATCCCAGACCAAGAAAAGTAGCCGTTAAATGCAAGCGCAATATTAGAAACTGCCTGTTCAAGTATTATGCTATGTTCACACTACAAGCAACTAAAGCATCAAAACGGCCGAGCATTGCCAGTTGCATTGCTGGCGAGTCGCCGTTGAGGTAGTTATGTTGTTAAATAGCACAGAGAACTGGCTTACCACATTTGATAGATGGAGTGGAACAGGGTGAAACAAAAACATATTGTTGGTTGACGCTTCTCAGCGTCATTGAAGTGCTGAAAAAAAGTTCAGATCAGCTCAACTTTGATCTGTAGCCCCTCACGCTCGTCACCAGCAACAAGTGCCAGGCGTCAGTTTGTAGCCTCCATTGACAATAACTTGTAGCCTGTTTAGTTCTAAGTGTATACAGACCATGACGTGATCTGGACATGACAAAGTACGGTCAAGGTTCCGTTCCTACATGATGCAGATAACGTAAATATGCCCAAACATTTTTTTATTTTCACGTAAAAAGGGTTTTAGTCCGTTCAGCAACAGAGTACCAAGTTGAAGCTAATGTTCAGAGCTTCTGTTCCACCGTTCACTGTTTTTTCATCCTGAATTTGTACATTAGTAAAAATATGTAATGTTATACTCTTTTTGGTCTCAGGTCATGTTCCCGACCCTCAGCCCGTACCATGGTTGTGTGTGTGTTGTTCCTGGTGATAGTGGCCTCTATGACTATGGTACTGTACTTCTTACCTGGATGCACCTTTACCAAGGTAAGAAAACAATCCACTGGTTCTGTGATTTATCGTAGTCATTTCCCCTGCTGACCCCAACCCTCCATCCTTCTGCAGAGTGGTTGTCCAAAGACCAACAAGACCACTCCCTTCGAGCAAGTCTACCCCATGTCCACAAATGGTGAACTGTTTCCGTGGGCACAGCTCCGGCTGCCTCACAGCGTACGTCCTCTTAGCTATGACATCACCCTGAACCCAGACCTCGACGACATGACCTACACCGGCCGCACCGTCATCAGCATGTCGGTGCAACACAACACCAAGCGCATTGTCCTGCACAGTGCTAATCTCAACATCACCAAAGCTACTTTCAAGGTGGGATTGGACGGGGTTTGTGTGCGGATGAACATGTGTTATAACACATTGAGAGTTTAGATGAGTTGTCCTTCTGACTAGATGTACAGAACATATATACACACTTAAAAAGATCTCTTTTGGACCAGAACAAAACACTTGATTGAAACTTTTTTTCTTATGTTGTCTGCTGTTCGTTTACTAATATTCCATGTCTTCCAGTCGGGTGATGGGGAGGCCAGAGAAGTGACTGTACTGGAGTACATACCCAGACAGCAGATCGCTGTTCAGTTCTCCAAGGAGCTGAAAACAGGCCTGTTCTGTGTCTTGACCCTGGATTACTCTGCCAGCCTCTCGCATACCTATAGTGGTTTCTACAACAGCTCATACTCCGATAAAGACGGAAACAAAAGGTACACTTGACTATTTGGCTGTGAAAGTACTTCACAATAATTAAAAGATGTCCTGCAGAGTAAGGACTTTATAAAACGCCTGTACAGAGAGGGTTGTGTGTCTTCATAGCAAATCATTAAAAGAAATTGAAATTACAGCAAATATCTAATTTGTTATTTTTAGCATGATCGTGCTCTTCCCCCTCTTGTCACCAGGGTCTTAGCAGCAACCCAGTTTGAGCCGCTCTCAGCTAGGAAGACCTTTCCTTGCTTTGATGAACCGGCTTTCAAAGCCACCTTCCTGATTCGGATCAGCAGGAAACCAAACTACCTGACTCTTTCTAACATGCCTCAGGTACTGTAATATTCATTCATTCATGCTTATTTTTAAGTGTTGAAACACCCCACATAGTTAACTAAAAGAAACAAAAGATTCTCTCTCAATGCACCAAACAATGTACGTAGACATCAAATGATAATTTGGTCATTTTCATGTAGTGGGCTAGAAACAGGGTCTGTTCTCAGCGTCACTAGGTTTATGACCTAAAAATAGTTTTGTTTTTGTCAGTGTGCACGGCCGCATTCTCTGCTCCCCCACACGTTGTCAACTGCAGCTGATCAATAATGTCACGTGTGTCACCTATATAGACACAATTTACGATACAACACTATGTCACCTCTTCTCCTGAGGAACTCGTGGGTCAGTCCTGTCCCCACTGCGACTCGTACGCTCTTCCCGTGGGGACAAATAAGCAGACCGTGTATTGTTTTTTTTTTTTTGCTTGCAGCGCTGTATTAATTAATTAGTTGGTTGTAATATTGTCCTTTTGTATTTCAGAATAAAAGCACACCACTTCTCAATGGCCTCATTCAAGATGAGTTTGAAATGACCAGCGTCAGCATGAGCACCTACCTGGTTGCCTTCATCGTCGCCAACTTCACCCCTATCAGCAAAAATGTCTCAGAAACTCGGGTAGGTCTTGCACAAATATGAATTTTGGCTTCCAATATATACATGTATGTTGTACTTTTTTTATTTATTTTAATTTACTATTCAGTGAAGTTTTTGATGATAAAATGATTTTGTGTTTGTTTATTTCTTTCTGTGTTTTAGGTGTCTGTGTACTCTGTGCCAGAGAAGAAGGAGCACACTGACTATGCTCTGGACACAGCCTGCAAACTGCTGGAGTTCTACAATGGCTTCTTTGAAATTACCTACCCCCTCGCAAAACTAGGTGAGTGCACAAAGGTACTTGCATGTGTCACACAAGATGCACACACACTCTTGTGATTTCCCCCCCCCCCCCCCCCCCCCCCCCCCCCCCCCCCCCCC